CGCTTTTATGTAACTGGCCGTCCCACGGACGCCACGTTACAACATATATTACGATGTTAATTGTTAATATGCAATAAAGGTATTACAACCCGAGCGGCACTATCAGAATGTTTCAATTTAATACATTTTCTTTTTATTTTTGATGCAGTAATTATAGTCATTGATGAAAGAAATTGATTTGAAATAATTGAGATACCCAAGCTGCTCGAATCACACGGCTCTGTAAAAAAATTATCTTTTTTTAAACAGTGTTTAACTTTTAATAAAAATATCGAATTTTCTTCAAATATGTCATATATTAAAACCAACGATCCGTCATGTAGTAAACAACAGTTGTCATTACAATGCTTTGAAACAAAGAAACCATCGAATTCTAAATAGGAAATATTTTTTACTCTGGATGACGAGTAATGAATAATGGGATACAATTTAGAATGAACCGGCGAATGAACAAATTGTTCAAGTGGTCTACCGGTGGATTTAATTTTTTTTTAAATTTGTTGCATATAATTCTTAAATTAAAATGCACTAAAATTATCCAGAGGTCCAAATCTTTTAACGTCATTAGAAAGATGTATCAGATTATGCACTTTGTGTGTCAAAAATTGATAGCCATAAAGATCTCCATAGGTCTGTACAAACCAAACTAGTAATTCATTTGCATAATCAGTGAAGTGAATAGACAGCTCAACATCTGCTAGAATTCTTGTAGCTACACTCAAAGCGAGAAAATGTTTGTAGTGTTCATTTGATAAAACATTTTTTAAAACAACAGATCCAGTATATAGTAAAAACTGTCTATGCTCTGTTGCCTTCCACCTGGCAAATTCGTTAAGACTTCTTGGAATTCTAACAAACTGGTTTCTGGTAATAAAACTTCCCGTTGATATTAGCTTTTCATTAAGATTATCTAAGACACATGATTTTAATGTAATATCTTTTTTCCCTTTCACCCAAAATTCTATGATACGTTTCACAACTCCCAAACATTGCAAATGCATATAATCAAGTGGTATTTGTGCAACCATGTCTATATTTAAAAGCTCTAAACAAGAAGTTGATATGTGGTGCTCGGGTTGTTGCTTGCTTCTAAAGGAATTATCAGTGCATAATGTACAATCTGTCTCAGGGTAAGTAACTTTGTTTTCTATGAAATCCCCTTCTTGAATGCATTTAGTACAGCTGAAGTAGCCTGTATGATTTTTGGTGCAACATATAAAAGATTTTGCAGGTGCATGACAAATGATTGCATCTATAACAACAGATATCTGTTTTCCATTCACAACTAATCAACGTTCACATATTATTTTTGCATCATCTACTAGAATTTTCAGAAACTGATTAGGATCTTTAGGTTTCATCGAACCATGATGAATGCCAACAACAAATGGTTCTGTATGAAAATCGGCAACAATTGAAGCTAAGATAACCCAAAATTGACTCCCAAAACTTTTTGAAAGTGATAGACCATCAACATTAATATGAAGTTTTAGCTCACTTTGGATGTCTTGAAAATATTTTGTGATTAATCGTTTGATACTTAATGATAGATTAAAATGAACATATTGACCTCCATTTACTGATTCTATGGTTTGAGAATCTAACTTTGGAGTTCTAAGAAAAGTCCTAATATCTGCTGATAAGTGAGAGTGACCATTGTGTTTCAATAATTTTAATAATTCATTCGCAGCACTGTGACAAACATTATTTTTGGAAATCCAACTGCACAATCCTTCTTCAAATTTGATATCACTTAAAGTATCATCATTATCGTCAAGATTACCTCCTATGCTATTACCATCAATTTCAAAAGAAAACTCACTTGATGCACAAAGATCTTGGCTTTCCTCAATTTCAATCTGTTCACATGACAAAGAATTCTCTAGATTCCCAGCTTGAAATACATGTTCTTCAGACAGATCGCACAATTCATGTAGATCTGCGTTTGTTTCTGAATTTTGAACTATTGTATCATCAGACCTTGCTACATTTTTAATTGTAGATATTGTAACAAAAATGTTACTGCAGACTCCCCTCCGCCTCCTGGCTCGGGGTCCCATAGGCCTCGAGTATTGCGTGCCAGCGTTAAGTATAAGTAATTGCGTTTATTTAGTTGTTTTAGATTCATTGTATTTAGAGTTAAGATCCCTCCCCTCCATCCCTCCCTCCCTCCCTGTCGCCCTTCCCCGTAGGGCACTGGCTCGAGGACCAACAACCAGCATCGAGGACACCGTCGTGGACCTGCCACGAGGACCCAGCATCCCTGGATGGACCGCGAGAGCGGCTACGTCGCCGAGGCAGCGGAAGGCAGGGATGGCATGGGCAGGAGGAACA